TTACATACACAATATATGTATATATAATATATGTGTATATATATGTATTATATATATATAATATATATATACATATATATAATATGTATATATATATATAAATATATACATATATATATATATATATATATATATATATAACACACACACACCCACACACACACACCACACACACACACACACACACACACACACACACACACACACACACACATATACATATATATATATATATATATATATATATTATATATATATATATATATATATATATATATATATATGAGTGTATGTGTGCTTGTGTGTCAGATTGAACGCAGGGCTTCAGACTGAGCTGCCAGTGCAATGGCCCCGACAAGGAGTGAGGAAAGGCGACAGCGGGTGACTACACTGACCTGCAGACGCTGCGACGAAGGGCCGAGGCGTTGAGCGGAAGTCCTCTCCGCTGAAGCTCACCTCCTGGTTGGTGAGAGCATCAGCTGCTACAAACGGAATGATCCTAAGAAGGTGGGAAAGAATATTTTATAGGGATGAGTTTGTTTATCATTAATATTTAAAATCAATAATATATGTTTCCAATATACTATTTTCTCTCTCTCTTCATATCGCATTATGTGTTGGCCTTTTCTCCACCTTTACAGCTTTCAGTAATGATTATATTAAATTCTTGAACTCACTTCAGGTTTGGTAGCGATGGCGGCAGTGTCGGTTCTCCGTCCGAGTCATACTCGATGTAGTCAAACGCAGGGTTGATGCCTTCTCCTTCGTCCCGAATTCCCTGAAAGCCTCCTTCCATGACTGGCTTGGACGGCAGGTCGGCCGACCCTCCCGCCTGGATGGCTGGCCGAGTAAACGGGCCGATGGGACGCACCGGAGCGTCTTCCGTCCGGGTCGGGATGAAGTCAGGGCGGATGGGCACGATGGCGGGCGGGCTGTGGATGGGCTTCGGGAGGATGGACGGAAGCGTGAAGCGAGGTGCGCTGGTGGTTGAGGGCTGAGGCTCAGGGGAGGTTGGAATGGTGACGGAAGGGTCTGTGGCAGGCTCCTCCTCTGCCGTTGTTGCTGGAGTGAAACGGAATCTTGGTGGAATGAAATTTCCTCCCGGGCGGGGTCTGTTTGCTAAGGCAGGACGAGGTCTACTTCCCAGGTTTGGACGTGGCCTTTCCTCCAGTTCTGGGCGTACATCTAACATAGCATCTGCCTGTTCTTCCACATCTGACTGGAGACCAGCTTCTTCATCTGGCAGGGTCTCTGCATCTACACTTGGTATGTCTTCTGATGCTGGACGTGTTCCATCTTCTGTCTCTGGAGTTGGACTATCTTCGACGTCGGAGGGTTGTGCGGGTTCAAGTTCAGGAGGAGGTACAGTGTCTATTCCTGGGCGTGGTCTGAAGTCGACGCCTGGCCGTGGTCTGCCATTTAGTCCTGGACGTGGTCTAAAGTCTGGTCGTGGTCTTCCCTCTAGTCCTGGTCGTGGTCTGCCTCCTAAACCTGGACGCGGCCTGAAGTCTGGTCCTGGACGAGAGCTGAACGGTGGTCGTGGTGGTCTGATTGGTCTTGGCCGCTCAGGTCGCTCAGGCCGCGTAAAGTAGTTCAAGAGTGTACCTATAAAAGAAGCTTGCGGGGATTCGGTGGTAGGCTCGCTTTCCTCGCTATCTTTGTGCTCTGGTTTTAACTCCTCTGGGGACTTGTGTTCGGGTTCCAGGTCCAGTGAATCGGCAGGCGCTTTGTGCTGCGGCTCTAACTCCACAGGAATCACTTCGCCCACTCCTAGGGGCTCAGGACCAGAAGGAGGGGAAGCCAACACAGAGGTTCCTACTGTTATATCATATGAAGGGTAGTCTGCATCTGGATCAAGGTATTCAATGTCGGTGTAGTTGCTAAAGTCATCGGTGACGGAGGCTTCATCTTGTGTGGTTGCAGTCGTGGAAGATGAAGCTCCCTCTTCCACTGCAGGTTCAGATGGAACTGTGGCTGTGGAAGGTGACTCTTCACTCACTGGTTTAATAGTCGTTTCTTGGGGCAAAACGATAGGCAACAAAGTGGTTATTTCGCTCGCCGGTGCGTCACCATCAATATTTTTCTCAGTATTTGGAGTAGTTTCTTCCCGAGCAACCTCATTGTCATTCTCCGCAACAGTGTCCTTAGTAGGCAGTGTCGTTTCCTTAATCAGGATGGTCGTCTCCTCCTCAGGAATGTCTGTTACAGTCAGTTCTTCCACCTCAAGAGTTGTTTCTGTTTCTGTGGCATTTTCAGCCCTGTGCTGGCGGTCGGTTCGTACCCTGTTATCTAGAATGTAGATAGGACCAAACTTCACAGCATTCTTAAGGCTTCCTTTAACATTCATGCCTGTACCGATTTTCACAGGCTCTCTCGTACTGAAGTTGGGGGGAGGTCTTGATGAGGCAGCAGAGGTTCCTCCTCGTACATCCTTTATCCAGAACACTTCGCCGACGCCACTGACTCCAGAAATCTAAGAATGATTCAGTGAATTAGGAAT